GCTGAAATCCAAGTGTTCAAAATGATAGGCCTAAGTTAGCGAGGGCTGCTCGACTCTTTCTTAGCGATTCATGCCCATCTTCTTCTCCAACTTGGTTTCTTCCCTCTCCTCCCCTTTTCTTCAACTTCAAACCCTTAAACAAGGTGTTTTGAAATATTTTTCAAAGATTTCATCTCTCTTTCATTCATTTACACTTTGTCCTTGCTCGGTTTTATCGAAAAGCGCAACATTTGACAAAATGCGAGCCTCGGAACATTGCAGAAACCTTTTTCAAAATATTTTAAAAGAGGGGGTTTTAATATCTAAAATATTTTTGGTCCAAAAATAGGTGTGAGGTTTGGATTTGACTCTCTCCTTGCCTAAGAAATCTAACCTTTGCACTGCATACCTTTCATCACCAAAGAAGCCATCAATAACGCCCAAGTCTTAAGGGCGGTCAAAAATGGGGTGTTTACATAGAGGCATGCAATATCAAGCTCAAATGATCAAACCAGCTCTGGGCAGAGCTTAAACATGCCAAAACAGTGGCTAAATCATGCTGAAATTGAAGCACAAAAAGCTATAAAAACATGCTCATGTGTTGGCTCGCAAGCTAGGCTCAAAACACGACTCTCAAAATCAATGAAAGAGTGATATACATGCGCGCATGACAGAGGTTATGGTGCTGAAATTACATGCAAAATGAGGTTATAACATGCAAATAACTCAAACACTTCATGCTCAAGGCTTCAAAGCAATGGACTAGTGAAGACCGTTACACTATAGCCATACAAACCAAGCCTCGAAGGACCTAACCGACCCAAAAAAGATTTAAAGCATGTCAAAATAGTAGCTAAAATGTGCTGGAATCAAGATAACACAAGCTAGAATAATAAGCTAACTCATTAGGCATGTTAGACTAGTACGCATAATTGCACTACAAGTGCAAGAAGCAAGCAACAAGTGCTCCAATCAACCAAAAACAGAGTTGAGACATGTCAAAATAAGGCCTAAAACATGCTTCAAATAAGCTAACACAAGCCACAAAAACATGCTCCTTTGTAATGCTAACTAGGCATGAAAGAGAGAGACAAAGAGGGGAGGCTAACCCCTCCATTTTTGGACTTCAAAACACACTTTTTACCATTGAAATAACTCTGAATTTCTATGGTTTAAAGGCCCAAAAGTTTGACTTTTACATGCTAAGAGATGATGCAAAGGCACATACAAATAGGCAACAAGAAGGGGGATACAACCCCTTAGCACAAAATGGATTTAAACCAACATGTTCAGGCCCAAAATTTAGAACTTTTTGTAGCTGAAAAATAGGCTCAAAACAGCACAAAAAGATGACAAAATAACTATGTACAAAGAGCTTAAAAAAGGTAAGACTTACACCCTTGAAGCACAACACTTAAACAACCACTTTCTTAGGCTCAAACAAGCTTTCAACAGCCCAAAATAGGTTCCAAGGGACCTCAGCCCAAAGATATGCAACTTTGGTTAAGGATGTCTAAGCAAAGGAGAGGTGTATCTCTACTTGTGTGCACACTCTCTACTTGTATGCACAAAAGGGCAAGAGAGAGAGAAATCTAGAGAAAGAAAATTGTAGAGAGAGAGGCTCCCAAAATTTTCTAACCTTCCAAAATGAGAGATATGGTCTCCATATATAGCAAAATACAAGCCTCAGGTCGAAATATCTGATTTAGAGACAGCTGGAGCTAGTGGAAGACAACTGGAGGTAAATATCTACAAAATATCTGAGTTTGAGTGGTGGCCAACCGGCCACTTTTCTGGTCGACCGACCACCCCTGGTGGCCGACAGCAAAAATCTGCTCCCCAGGTCTAACTTCAAATAGGCATATCTCCTTCATTTTGACTCCTTTTTAGGTCATTCTTGTATCTAAATTGAAGCCCCGGAAGTAAGCTTTCCAATGGTGGAAGCCTCATATCAATATTCCAAGTGTGCAAAAAGGTATGCTCATTTTAATAAAGACTACTCAGTTTCGATTTAACCGGATTCATGCCTAACTTCTCCTCAGCTAGTTTTCTTCCCTCCTCTCCTCTTTTCTTCAACCCCAAACCCCTAAATAAGGTGCTTTGAAAGATTTTTCAGAGATTTCACCCCTCTTTCATTCATTTCCACTTTGTCCTTGCTCGGTTTACCGAAAAATACAACTTTTAACGAAATGCGAGCCTTGGAACATCGTAAAAACTTCTATCAAAAATGTTTTGAAAGAGAGGGTTTTAAGGTCTAAAATCATTTTGGTCAAAAGGCTTTGGTCCAAAAAGGGGTGTGTGGTTGGGATTTGACACTCTCATTGCCGAAGAAATTGAACCTTTGCACTGCACAATTTTCATCACCAAGTAAACAATTAGTGCGCCCAAGTCTTAAGGGCGGTCAAAAATGGGGCGTCTAAACTCCCCCTTAACGCCCTTTTCGGTTAAGTTTAAGGCATTTTTGGCTCTAACTCCCAACCTACATGCGCTAATTACATTCTGTCTGTTGTCACAGGTCCTGTTTGTCACGGCGAAGGTGGCTGTGACATCTGTACAGTGGGTCGAGGGTTGATTCGCATTTTCACCCCCTTAACGCCTTTTTTTGGTTAAGTTGAAGGGGTTTTCGGCTCTAACTCCCAACCTACACATGCTAATTACATTCCGTCTAATGTCATAGGTCCTATTCATCACAGGAAAGGTGGCCCCATTGGAAATCTTAACATGGATTGATTCCATATCACGGTCTCCTCATTGTGCCTCTATGACCTTACTAACCAAGGTAGGTTGAGCATTCAAAGTAAACAAGGTAGCACTCTTCCCGGACTCACCCAAGTGCAAATCAAACTTACCAATAACACCTATCATATCCCATTCCCGAATGGCCAAACTTGCCAACTACTCACAGATTTTTGACTCAAAGTATCAGCCACAACATTGGCCTTCCCCGGATGATAGTGCAACTCAAAGTCATAATCCTCCATAAATTCCATCCACCTCCATTGACGTAAGTTAAAGTCTTTTTAAGAAAACAAATACTTTAGACTCTTATGATCGGAGAAAATCTCAAACTTCTCACCATACAAGTAATGCCTCCAACTTTTCAAGGCAAAAATTATCGCCGCTAATTCTAAATCATGGATGGGGTAATTCTTCTCGTGAGTTTTCAATTGTCATGATCCGTAGGCCATAACTTTACCCTCTTGCATCAAGACACAACCAAGTCCATCCCCGGACGCATCACAATAGACGGTATAATCTAAACCCCTTTCCAGAATTATCAAGACTGGTGTTGTAGTCAATCTAGTCTTAAGTTCTTGGAAAAAAATTTCACAAGCGTCATTCCACACAAACTTGATACCCTTCCTAGTCAACCTAGTCAAAGGTGTAACTAATCTAGAGAAGTCCCTTACAAAGCGTCGATATTACCCCGCTAATCCCAAGAAACTCCGGATCTCAAAAACATTCTTGGGTTGTTCCCAATCATGTACCACGTCTATCTTTGAGGAGTCCACTGTTACTCCCTCACTCAACACTACATGGCCCAATAGCTTTACCTCGATTAACCAAAACTCACATTTGTCAAATTTAGCATACAAATGGTGCTCCTTCAGCAATTCAAGCACTACCCGTAAGTGAGCCTCATGTTCCTCCTCGGAGGTTGAATAAATTAAGATGTCGTCCACAAAGACGACCACAAAAAGGTCTAAGTATTCCCAAAAAATTATGTTCATCAAATCAATAAAAGATGCTGGTGTATTAGTCAACCCGAACGGCATTACCAGGAATTCATAGTGGCCATAACGCGTATGAAAGGCCATTTTTTGGATGTCCTCCTCCCGGACTCTCAACTGATGGTACCCTAACCTCAAATCTATCTTGGAGAAGCAGCGAGACCCTTTAAGTTGGTCAAACAAATCATCAATTCTAGTTAGAGGATACTTGTTCTTAATGGTAACCTGATTCAACTTGCGATAATCAATACACAACCATAATGACCCATCCTTCTTCTTCGCAAAGAGAGCCTGTGCTCCCCAAGGTGATGTACTAGGGAGAATAAAGCCCTTTTTTAAAAGCTCTTAGAGTTGAATCTTCAACTCATGCAATTCGGCGAGTGCAAATCTATACGGTGACATGGAAATCGGTGCCGTACCAGGCACTAATTCAACGGAGAACTCGATCTCCCGGTGGGGTGGCAAACTAGTAAGATCCTCAGGAAAGCCATCCGAGTATTCACAAACTACCCTTGGTAACTCAACACGGGTCCCATCACTCCCACTATCCAAGAGTGTTGCAAGAAGGCCACTAAGCTTGCTCCTATTATGAGGGTCCAAAACTGGCGACAAGGTCCTATCAACTTGGTTTCCCAGAAAATAGAAACAATCACCACCCGAGGTACATACAGTAACTCTCTGACGGTAACAATCAATCACCACTCGATACGAAAATAACCAGTCCATACCTAAAATGACATCAAAACTCGACATGTCTAGCAATACAAAAGCAAACAGGAGTTGACGCCCGACGACTTCTATCTCACAATCCCGACACCCCTGGTTTAATTGAATCATATCCCTAACAGGTGACTCTACTCTGAGTGGAGTTGCTAGCTGCGCCACCTATAACCCCAATGTAGAAACAAATGCAGCAGATATAAATAAATGAGAAGCACTTGTGTCTATCAACACGCTAACCAAAGTATTACACACAACAAAAATACCTCTCACAACTGAGGATCCTGGTGACTGCTCTGGTGCGGTGATAGCATACACACGCCCCTGTGGCCCCTGATAAACTTGCTTCTCCCTCGAAGTATAGGCCTGGTACACCGACTGAGCCAAAGCAGCTCCCTGGTTAGCTCGAGAGGTCTGTGAAAAATAAGCCTGCTGGTGGCTCTGTGTCTGTCTCGAACCTGATGCGCCAGATGCGCCTCCCAACTGTGGACAAGCCCTCTTCATGTGCCCTGGCTGACCACATTAAAAACCATTAAACCCCTGACTTTTATTCTGGGGCTGGCCTTGAGATCAATTAGGTGGTGGTGGTAACATCAACTGCTTTCCTCCCTTCTGTGGGCACGCAAAGACTTTGTGACCTGGTTGGCCACACTTAAAGCAAGAAAAACCACTCTGAGCACTCTTTTCGGGGCCCGTACTAGGCAAGGGAAAGGTGGATCTAGACTGCTGTGGTTGGGATTGTGGTAAATTGCCCCTTCTCTTCTTATTCTGCCTGTAGTTCCCCTGGGATTCCTGGCCCCTAGACCTCGAACCCCGATGTCTCTCCTTCTCAGCCTGCATAGTAACCTCTACATGTGCCACCGCCTCCACGAGAGGAGCATAGTTCTGAACCAAATTTCTGGAAACTTTGTACAAAATCTTGGTTCTTAACTTCTTCTCAAACTCAGTACAACGGCGCTTTTCCATTGCCACCAACTCCGGTGCAAACCGGGACAAACTAGAAAGGCCGCCTCAAACTCAGCCATAGACATGTTATTTTGTTTGAGGTCCAAAAACTCTTGCCTCAATCTCTCCCTAGCAGTGGGAGGTAAGTACTTATCTTGGAAAACAATCACAAAAGCTTCCCATATCGGCTCCACTGAACCCTTGGCGTACTTCCACCATTGACCCACATCTCTTTTAAGATAGTAACTCGCTAGAGTCACCCTTAGTTCACTATCCTCGATGTGAAGCATCTCAAATGTCTTCACTATTTTTTTGAACCACTCGTCTACTTTCTTGGGCTCGTGGCCACCAAAGAACTTATCCGGTTTGGCCCGCAAAAACTCCCGAGTAAGAAAACCCGTGGCATTTTCTCGGGCTTGGTTTTCAGCCCTCAACAAATTCATAGCCCCTGCTATCTCTCATACTAGGGTCCTCATTGCGGTTTGACCCACTTATTCTACTTGTTCAGCCACATTAGCTTGGCTTGACTCTTCCTCTTGCACCGGAACCTCTTGGGCCGATACCTCATGCACACCCCGACGAGGCCTACCACATCTCTCGCCTCTACCACCATGGGCTTGACCTCTTCCTGACATCCTATAAAGGACAATAGAAATAATTTAGCACACTAACCCATATGTGCCCGCAACTTGCCTTACCTGTTTAAACACAATAATTCTATATATTATCTACTATATAGACATTTCTATTTCACTCCACATAAGCACTTAGTCATGTAAACACATACGGATTATCCTTTCATGATGAAATTCGTCCCACGAAAAACCAACAATTCTTAGTATAACAAGTATTGATCAAATATCCTTCTAAGAAGACCTCAAAGAATTTAACAGACGCAAACAACATCCCAAAAGTCCAATCCCATATCCATATAGCCATATAAGCATGTTATCACATAGTCACAAAATGTATAACATCTTGCTATCATGCAAGCTATCATGTAGCATGAACCCATTGTAGTAAAACAACCACTTCCTATGAGCTCCGAGTATTCGAACCCGGTAGCTCTGATACCAAGTTGTAACGCCCCAATTTTCATACCCAAATGACGATACAATATTCATGACCCTTTTTAAGGAAAACCAATCATACAATCCCACACTTGCATTTCATAATGTAAATAGTTCCTCATGCGATAATATATTAATTTGACAACAAGTAAATGAACAAATAAATACCCCAAAGGGTTTACAAGTTTCCAAGACTTAAGCCTGGTTACACATAACGGTTATTCAAACCCACACATACAAAGCCCTTGGCTTACAAATAGAATCACAGTAAATGAGAACCTTGTGCTCTCAACACACACACTTTTCCTCGCCCTCAGTTAGGCGGATTCACCACGCCTTTACCTGCACCAAAATCCCGTAGGGTAAGCATAAAGCCCAGTAAGAAATCATTCACAAAGTATATACATTTTACACAAATCTGAAGAGATGAATGCGTATGCCATGCTATGTCTTTTTATAGATAAATCACATCTTTATCTTTTGAAAACCATCATGCTCAATGATGCCATGCAATTTCCATTGTTCGAAGCTTAACAATTTAACTAAAGGCACAGCAAATACAACTCTGATAATCTCTAGGTCAGTGTCTGCAAGTAGACCATACAAGTACTACCAATTTGTCATTTTTACCAGTATCAACTGGAAGGCTCAACACCTCTGATCTGTCATTTTTACCAGTATCAATTGGAAAGCTCAACACCTCTGATCTGTCATTTTTACCAGTATTAACTGGAAGGCTCGACACCTCTGATCTGTCATTTTTACCAATATTAACTGGAAGGCTCGACATCTTATAATCTACACCACTTTTCAAGACTTACCACCGTATTTATCCCAAAACCATTTCATGAAAACTTGTTTCTCAACATTCTTTTCTAAATGCAAAATTTTCAAATCAAATTTCAAAGCTCCTCATTATCAAATGAATTGATATGCCAATGCAATGATTAATAATACAATGCAATATTTCTTCCACCTTCAATACTCCCACACAATGTTTCCATTGTGATCAAAATTCTCATTTCTCCTTTCAATGCAATTTTACAAGATGAATAAATGATTTTATTTTAATTCATCCAAGGGATAACATAATTCCCACATTCAAACAATCCTAACAATTTAGTCATCTCAACACTATATTAATACTTTTAAACAACAATTCCCAAAACTTCAACAATTCTCTTATTCCATGGAAAACCATCATATTTATGTAATAAATAAACAATTTTCAAACATCATTCATTTTGGCACACAAAGTAAATATAACAACATATTCTAAAGATTTTCAACATCTTTCTTAAAAATCCCCAATTTCTAGGTTTTCTCACCAAAAACCATTCATCTTTAAATATTTGAGAAGATCTCACCAAAAACATCTTTCTTTCATCAACATAGTTCAAAAACCCTCAATTTCTATTTTTAGAAAGAAAAGAAAGTAAACCCACTTTCAAAATCACTCATCTTCTTGAATCAACAATCAATTTTCAAAACTAATCAAAGGATGATTTCGAAAATCATCTAGATCTTGTAAAAACATATATATAACTCAAAGAAAATCTCTACCTCAAGCTTAGAAGAGAAGATATGCAAAACAAGGTTGAAAATCCAAAGTTGTCGAAACCAACTTCTATTTGGACCAAAATGAAGCTCTTGATAAGCTCTACATTTAATCTCAAATGAGCAAGGCAAGAAGATACTTCCAAGTGAGTAGATCTAAAGATCTATGAGCAAAAAGTGATTTTGGAGATGATGGAAGAGTCTCACGGCTTGGAGAAGGAAAAAGAGAAGAAAAATTAAGGAATAGGTTAAGTGAGGGACCTATTGATAGTGCTAGGTTAAAGTAAAATGAAGTCCCAAATTCAACCCAAAAGATCAAGTCAAAATTCCCAAAAAAAGGCCCAAAGCCGGACTGAAATCTGGAAAAAAGTCTGCAGGTGTCGACCCCTGCAACACATGTGTCGACCCCTATGAAGAAAGCTGGAACACTTTGTTTGACAGCAACACAGGTGTCGACCCCCCCTCCCAAAAAAAAAAAAATCTGGTGACGACACTAAAAAGCAGTAAGCAAATTCTGGACAAGGGTCGACCCTTCCCAGACTGGTGTCGACCCTTGTGGCCAACAACAAAAGGAAGGTGTTAACACCTCCAAGACTGGTGTCAACCCCAGAATAAGATTTTTAAGTTCCCAAACAACTTTTCAACGTAAACAAGCGTGAACGAGCAATCCCAACAAGTTTAAATTGATTTGTACTCCTCCAAAACTAAGATACAATAACACTAAAAATTTCCAAAATAAAATAAAGGATTCAAACACTTCCCCAAAAGCTTTGAAGGACACGAGTGCTACATTTGGCGACTAAATTCGTTTTAGTCGCTAAATTTGGTCGCCAAAAGTGTAAATTGTTGTAGTGATTTAAGAAAGATACAAGTATATATATATATATAATAGTACTAACTTGGGGTCAATATGTAATTCATTAAAATGTGAGGGCTTTGGCTTTAATTTATGAATTTAAACATTTAATTAAGTGTAGTATTTAATTTAATTAGGATTTGAAAATTCAATTCGGTTAAAGTTTCTTTATTTCGGAGTAAACGGTGAATCATATTGAGAACCGGAAACCTAGGATTTTTGTGTGTAAAATATAATTAGAAAATTAATTTAATTATTATTAGGGTTTTGAAAATGATTCCTGATGTAACGCCCAAATTTCTAGCCTAAATGATAAGACAACAATCATGGCTCTTTCAAGAAAAACCGAATATAAATCTCCAAACTTACATTACATAATACAATAGTTCTTCATGCAACAATACATTAATCCAGCAACAAGTAAATAAACAAATAAATACCCCTAAGGGTTTACAAGTTTCCAAGGTTTGAGTCTGGTTACACAAAACAGTTATTCAAACCCACATAAACACAGCCCTTGGCTTACACACAGAGTCACAGCAAAATGAGAGCATTGTAGTCCCAACACACATACTTTCACGCCCCTAGTTGGGTAGTATCACCACATCTTTTCCTACACAAAAATCCCGTACGGTGAGCATAAAGCCCAGTAGAAAATTCTTAACAAAGTATATACATTTTATACAAGTATCAAGAGATGAAATGCACATGCCATGCTATGTCCTTTTTGAAGATAAATCACATTTTCATCTTTTGAAAACCATCATGGTCTGAGGTGAAATTCCTAGGACAAGTGGTTTCAGGAAACGGTGTGACTGTTGACTTTTCTAAGATAGATTTTGTGAGGAATTAGGAACAACTAAAGAACGCCTTCGAGATTAAAAGTTTCTTGGGTCTTGTTGGTTACTACTGAAAGTTTCTTTGTGAAAGATTTTTCATGTTTAGCGTCTTTCTTAACTCATTTGACTTGGAAAGAAGTGAAGTTTGTTTGGAGCAATGCTTGTGAATGCTCGTTTTTAGAATTCAATGAGAGGTTGACCATTGTTCCAATTTTAATTATTCCAGAATGAGGTGTGGGCTATACCGTGTACCGTGATAGCTCACGGGATGGTTTGGGTTGTGTGTTGATGCAAGAGGGATGGGTTGTGGCTTATGGTTCTCGTTAGTTGAAGATTCACCATTACAATTTTGGTTTAGACCCAACCCATTTAATACTCTTAGATCCAGATTCAGTACTTTTAATTGTTGTTCATATCCTTTGTCGTCTTGTTAGTAGTCGAGTTGAGTTGTTGGTCGTGTTTGAAACAGGTTGGCAGTTAGTTTTTCAAAAGAGTTATTGTTCTGTTTTCTACTTGTTCAATTGAGCGATGTTTTGGTTGCTCAAGCGGTCTTTGAGATCTCCCAGTATTTACAGGTCTGCAAAAGTTCTAAGAGTAGGGTATCTTCACTTGAGCAGTATTTCTTGGGATCAAACAGTCTTTTTCAATTTGCAAAAATTCTAGGATGGAATCATTGTGTGCTCAATCTGTGTTTTGGTAGCTCAAGTGGTGTCACTTATTTTCTCTTATGCTCGAGCAGTGTTTTGGTCGCTCAAGTAGTCTGCGCATATATCAGGGAAAAGGGATTTTTCAATCACTTTTTGATTCCTCTTCCTCTCTCTCTCTCTCTCTCTCTCTCTCTCTTTCTCTCTCTCTCTCTCTCTCTCTCTCTCTCTCTCTCTTTAAAACCTTTCAAACCCTAATTTATTCACTATTTCTTTCTAGTTCTTGCCTTAAAACCCCAAATACACCCTCACCCATTGATTTCTTCACCATAGATCTTCGGAGAAAAAGGTAAAGCTCGTCAAAAGTTTCATTCCAATCAGAGAGGATCTTGTTTTTGGCTTCATCAAGCTTCAACCCATGTTTTCTTTATCTTCTAGACTTGAGGTAGGGATTTCTTCCACCTTTCGTATGATTTT